TATATACATTTAATAAAACATCCAATTGAATGGAAATTTGCTGAGTCTGCAGGTTTGCTGTGGCGGAGTTGTTTTACTCATAAAATAAGCTTACATTTTAAGATTTTATAGTATCACACTATGTAACTAAATGGGATAAATTATCATAATCCTTGAAAGGAACGGTCAATTTCCATGTGTTTCACCTATCTATATATTAATTTGAAACTGTTTTTCTTTGTCATTGCTATTTTGAGAGAACGGCTGGGTGTAGAAACTCGGTAGAGGTGTCTAAAGAAAGGTCTTGGTCTGTAGATGAGCCATCAAAAGAGAAACATGGTGAATTCCCTTGGGGCTCTGCCCCAGTGGCCTTTAAATTCCTATCCCATTTTATTCTTATGAAGGAAAACGGGGTTTTTGTCACAGCTAATTTGAGAGAACGGCTGGGCGTAGAAACTTGGTAGGGGTCTCTAAAGAAAGGTCTTGGTCTGTAGATGAGCCATCAAAAGAGGAACGAGGTAAATTCCCATGGGGCTCTGCCCCAGAAGCCTTTAAAGTTGCCTCTTCAGATTTGTTTACATTACGACCATATGCATAATTCTACACTACTTTTTAATGAATCAGCTGTTAATATTTAAATTGTGATTTATTGAATTTGTCAAAATGAAGTAGCCTACAGTATTTGCAATGGGTTTTTCTGATTTTAAATTGGATTTTCTTCTGCATCGTGTCATGTTTTGCAATATAATGTTCTATTACCAAATCAGTGGAAAATCCTAATATCACAGTAACTCTTGATATTCTTTGGCGTATTGCATCTGTAGACGAAACTTGGGTTGGTGAAATTATTACAATGGAAAAAAGCGAGAAATCCTGGACAATTTGATATAGGCTAAAAATAAAACTGAATTAACAATATGCTACATTTATTGAGCAATCATTGAAATAGCCGATTTGCAAACAATGGAAACATAGAAAAAGTCATAGAACACAACCAAGTAGAAGAAAAGAAATATTTTTTTTTCATTTTTAATTGTTATTATAGACAACCTAATGCGGCTATGAGAGGGAAAAATTTGTAGAAACACTAAAAAACAAGATAAGCTTTTTGAGAAAAGATAAGATATTTACAAAAGATTTTGATTATATCTAACTGTTGTGTAGATCGTGAGTATTTCCATAATCTTCGTGAGTCGCCTGTAATGCTTCGCAATTGCTCGAATTCGAGCAACAGGTACACTAGTTTTTGATAAATAGAAAAAAACTAAATATACTTAATAACAAATAACTCAAAAACCGTTGGGTTTAGAGAAAGATGGTTAGTACAAAAAATGTGTATTTTTAGATGACCTACATTTTGTATATTTAGCTTTTTCTTGTATCTCTAATAATAATGTCACTATAGCGAAAAATACAGAAATATGCTGCCATTTTCCAACATGGTGGCCGTAGCACAGCTTCAATTTTAGGGGACATTTAGTATGTTCAAAAGGAAGGTACACCCAACATCTGTACCAAATTCCCCGGTTGTGCTATTTTTTTTTTTGTTCAAAACATATTTTTATTGTACTAAGAGTGTTGTTACGGTGGTAAAGTAAACTTGCCTAATGTCAGATCAAATGAATGCATGCAAGAAATGTTTACTTCTAACACAGACCAAACAAGATATTTCAAAACATTTAGTACAAAACTATACTAATGCCTTGACTATGATGATTTCAAGTAGTAAGATTATACCATATCTAGGCGTACCTTATGTTTTTATTGTAAACTTTTGTATCACTCGCTCTACTTCAATTTAGAAAAAACGCAAATGGATTGTTTACTTCATGGTTATGTTGCCAGTTCCTCGGAAAAACTTATACAGTACAAGGTTTATTGACTGAATTTACCAACACAATCCAGACATTTCAAGTCAAAAATAAGAAGTTTCAACAACTCATTTGCTATTGAAAGTTTTAGTGGCAATATAAGACCAAACATAAGTGAAGGAATCAGTGTTTATGTATTCAACGATCGAGTTTGTTACGCTCAAGTTTATTTTTATGATTTAGGAAAGGCAAATAATATACGCTGTTCAAAAAGAGAATACGAAAATTGCTATCCAAATCGTATAGCTACAAGAGTTATCCAACCTATTTCGACAAATGAATCCATACTTTCAAAACGTTGGGACAGGTATTTAGAGAAACTCCACTGAAAAACGTGAGACTGACAGACAACACGTTAAAATACGTTAACCAACTTTCAATGGTGTTGCTGCTTTAGCCTATTCAAAGCGGATTATGACAGTCCAGTTGACAGAAAATGGAGCACATGAAATGGTTGATATCATTTCACTTTTCAGGGTATCCACGAAGAAAATTCGTTTGATTAGGGGGATGTCTCAAATCAAAGAAATGAAATGACCCAACTAAAATTACTAAACACAGGTCATCAGTAGGCCTAAGGCAACAGTTTTCTTCAATTCTCAATGCTGGAAAAACTTTGTTGCAACATGTTCTAGAATTGAAACGGATCGTTTAGCATTCATTATAAGTTATAAATTAAAACTAAGAGCAGAAATAATGTAGGTGAACCTTGACGACGCAAACAGAGATATTTCAAATTAGTTTCTAACAAGTGTTTAAACAACTCTAAGATTTAAGACAATTACTCGAATTTAAGCATAAAGTTTTCCTCGGCGTTATGTAACCCTCTGGTGCGGAGCCCTTTTGACGGATCTGCACCAAACTTCACACAAACTATCCTTGAATAATCTATACTATTATATAAAAATCTAATGGTGTCTGTATGTGTATTACTAATAGGTGAAAAAACTACTGAACCAACTGGGCTTAAATTTTACAAAAATATAGCTACCATACCAAGGACCATTATAGGACTATTCACATTTCGATACTTACCGTAGGCTTTGCCCCTTTGGCTTTAAAAGTTCTGAGGTGAACATTTTAAAAGTAAATATTGATTGGTCTCCATGGCTGTGATGAGAAAACTAACAGTGTTTGTTTACATTTGCTTTGACATTTAAATATAAACAAGAAGAACTGCTAAACTGTATATTTCACAATTTCAGACAGCTGATACAAAGAAATTAAATATAATATTTTCCATAAATATGAAGTAGGTTTATTTTAATCTAACCTTTTATGATGGATTATTTATTCTAAAACTATGTCAATGATTATATAAAAAAAGATTTTATAACCGTTGCTGTATCAACTCCGGCTCTGCTTTGGATATTTTAAAGCGTCTTAAGTTAATAATCTTAAGTGAAAATAATGTTATTGATATGTTTTCATGGAAACAGTATGAAAATTACAATGTATAGATGTTTTGTATGAATTTGGAGGCTACTTTAAATAAATTCTAACTGCTTCACATGTTAGATTAACTTAACATAACTTGCACATCACATTGTGTTTTATATGTATATTTAGGTAAATTAAGTTATTGTGTTTTGCTAAACCTATGCTTAAATTAAACTAAAGAATATCATCAATAACTATTGTCGTTGATTTTTGTTTTCTAAAATATGTTGAATATGTGTAACTATATTTAATTATCAAATGGTAATACAAAATACTCTTATTTTATCTTAACATAGCTTTCAGTTCACATTTACTTTATTTGATACATTTATTATTTGTGTTTTGTTTTGCCACACCACTGATTAAATTAAACCAAGGACAATATCATAAAACTAAGCAGTACACAGTGCTCTTTTGTTTCTAAAATCAATGAAATATCTGTTACTATGTTTTCTTAATGGTAAGTGTGAAAATGTAAAGGCAAGGGACGATGGAACTGATTAAAAGAACTGGTTTGTTGTTTGTTGATATTTTTGTATAGTAGAATCAGAGATGCAATTAAACATATACTGTATTTGCTATTATATTTTTTAGTCCTTGATGCTTTGATAATCATATTAGTTTTGTCTGCTGTCTTTAATGCTAAATTATTTGTTTGAAATTTTTTATAGTACCTATAGATATATTTTTTCTATGTTTCTTTAATATTTCAAAAGACTGTATTGATAAGGCACAGCAATATTTCTAAAGTTTATAACAGCTGACTTAGTTTAGCTAATGATTTATTGTGAGTGAAAAAACTGAAGATGAAAGGATTTGTGATTTAATATAAAGAAGAGTTTAATATAAAGATATTTAAATTTAATAATTAGTATTTTTGCAACTTCAAAATTGAAATTTAAAATGTCAATAATAAATTAAAAGATGTGTAATTAAGGGAGATGAAGGTAAATCTGGTAATTAAATCATGTATGTCAAAGTTTTACTCAAAGATTTGGTCAGTTTTTCTCATATCAGCCTACACAAGATTTAAAATTAATCAAAACCAAAATGATTGTATCCACCACCTACTTACCAGATTTAAAAGTCATAACTTAAACGTTTCTATTAAGGCCATAAAAGTTGAATTTTGTTTCTAAAAGCGTTGGCGCCGTTGGCGGATGTGTAACTATTATGCAAGAGATAAAGATTAAAAACGTTTATATTTTATGTCCTCTTCCCGTTGCAAAGCACGGGTACAACAGCTAGTGCTTAATAAAACCAAGTGAACGACGAGACGGGTGAAACATGAATGTAACAGAGAAAACCCTTGTATTTAGTAGATAGTTATAAATCATCGATCATCCTCTTACCGGACGGATGTCATTTATAGCAATAAACACAGTCTAATAATAAAGTGGTTAGAATCTTAGGGAGAAGAAAACATTCTTAAAGTTTTAATAGATTTGTTAGCAGAGGATGGTATTTTCCCAAACCCATGAACACAAATATCAGGTTGCCCCTTGAACAAAAATGTATGCGACACCTTTGTTACTTCTACCACCGTTCTAGCGCCGAGCCAAAGAAGTAGTAGAATTTTTATTTTGCAAGGAAAAGAAATTTATTGCAACAACAATTCGTGGTACCGAATCTTTCGGGGGACTCTAAACTTGGATCTGAAGTTTGGTCGCGACGCTACGGACGATTGTTGCAGTGTGGACGGTCCGCGGTTGTGAGTGGTGTTTGGTGTTTAGTGTTTAGTGTTGGTGTTTAGTGCCCCGTCGACCTCCGCCATGGCAGCGTCCTACTTGCTCCTTGCAGCTGTCCTCTCTACATCACAGGCTCTTAAACTACGTGAGTACAACTAGCATACATACATGTTTACATATTATCCACAGACAATTTTGCACTATGTAGTCAGACTATCCGATGTGTTATAAAACGCGCGCGTTGTATATGGCTAATTGTAGGTTGAAGAGTATGATTGATAAAATATTTGAGATATTCTATTAATGCTTTGAATTACGTGTGTACAAAACTTGATGGAATTGCGCAATGAAAAAAATATTATCCTAAGGCGTAACTTACTAGCTGATAAATATACTATATACACAAAATTAATTAATAATTATCACATTAACGGATCAGAAAATAATCAAATTAAGTAAATTCATCCGTCGGAGCCATACATAAGCCTAAGTTTAATTTAATATCCATCCAAAAAATGTTGAGTGCAGAAACTTAAATACTTTAATGAATGGAGATGTGTAGGATGAGTGCGCACTATGATCGCGCCGATCTTGTAGTCTTGTTAAGGCCGACATAATGTAACAAGATAAATAACATAATATAACAAAATGTTTTAGATAATTGCTACAAGCTACTATGCTGCTATTTAATATTTGTCAATTTGTACTTAAAATTGAAGAATTAACATTTTCGTTTGGTTTCTTGTGTCTAACGTATTATAAATCCATATAATTCATCTGTAGTATTTGGAGGTTTTATATGTTAACAATTAGGTTTTCTGCGCTGTTTTGCTCTTATTATTTATGATTTGGAATGTAGCACCACCCCTAGTTTATTAACAAAGTATAAACAATAAAACAATGACTCAGTACGGTTTCAAACATTAGCAAATCTTTCTCATAATTCATTTTACACTCATCCTTCAATTTGTTATCTTTGCCTCAAATTGAGCCAGTGTTGCATCTTAGAATAGCCTAATAGGCATACTATGATTGATAACTGATGTAATTTTGATACTAAGTTTAAAATCATGATGATTACATTCGTGCTCATACATATAAATAAATATAGACTAAAGTCGTTTCAACAATATGTCCAGGCAAATGTTATTATAACAGATGCATGGGTAAAACACCGTTTGTTTACAACAAAACCAGTAGCGCAGGTTTTCAACCTAAACTATATTTACTCTGTCAAGTTGGGTAATTAAACATGCTAATTACCGATAGAAGCAACAAAATAGAGTTTTCTCCAGACCAGTTCAGAGGCAGCTTTACCTTGCAACGTAGATGGAGGTAAAACTGTTTATGTCTACCTCATTAGGTAGACTATGTTTGACAATTTGCTGTATCGTTCCGTTATAGACATGTCAAAAGCAGAATATCCCTTAATTTCAATCAGTATCGAGAGACTTGGTGCACAAACTTGATGAATAGATTATTCTCGTCTTTACACTTGCTGGCGTCGACAGATTTGACGTTTCAATAGAGAACACAATTATTTATAGGTTTACTGTTACCAACAAACTTACTCTACATACACACTTGAAAAGTAAGAAATTGCCTTGGATTTACTACAGGTAAATACTAAAATACTAGCCGTATAAACTGAATGGATAACCTACAATGTTTGCTGTACAAACTTGAACAGTAGAATATTCTCTCTGATTTACAAATGCTAGCTAGTACCAATACATTTACTGTTTAGACCTGGAAAGTAGGAATTATATATTCTTGTATTTACGTTTGCCAGTATTATTACCTTTCAGGAAATATGAAAACATTTACAGAGAACAATTTAAAATAATCAAAACCATTACGCATTTATAAAATGTGTTAGGGATTATGTCAGCGAATTAATGTCTGAGGCTACTGAAGCATTGTACAACTACTTATGTTTAAAACTAGATAGCAGTAAAGGATTTGTTCGATGGATAATAACATTGACAAAAAGAATTCTTTTTGTCTATGATAATACTAACAAAAGTATTATATCATATGTGGTGGTACCAATAAACATGCGTAATATTATTAGTTTATTGTGCTTTTAAATTTTGTTCACCGTACGTTAAATGACAAGAATTAATCGATGAGGGTTCTCAACTATATACAATGTGTGTAAATTAAGAATGAAAACAAATCTGTATTTTTAAAAACGAAATGGATAGAAATATTCTGTTTGTGGCATTGATTGTTGATGTTCCGTAAACTTTTAAATCAAAAATATTTTTTAACCCCCTAACATTGACTTTTTTCAAATAGCTACCCCTACTGAGTGACCCCTCGTTTTGAACAGTTTGTCAAGATTAATACAATGACACAAACCCGAGGCAGATATCTCACCCCTAGCCGAAATGGCAGGTATTCCATAATTTAATTTATGCAAAAAATCACCAGTTTCACTAAAATATGAAAAATAAGTCCATTTTTTACAGAAATAGATCTATCTTTTTTAAATAGGCCTACCCTAACAGGGCGGGGGTAGAGTTGACTTTTTAAAATAGCAACCCCTCATTTTTAAGGGGTTGTCTCAAGAAATATAGTGACGCAAAACTGAGGTAGATATGTGAGGTATTAGACGCTCACCCTTAGCCATTCGGTCTCCTACGACATTCCAAATTTGAATCGGTGTAATGGGCGGTGCTCACATAATTCAAATTTTGGAATACCTACCATTTTGGCTAAGCGTGAGATATCTACCTCGGATTCGCTTCATTGTATTTCTCTTGACAAATCCTTCAAAATGAGGGGTCACTCAATAGGAATTGCTATTTGAAAAAAACGACACCCCCAATCCACTACCCTGTTAGGGGGGTTAAAAATATTTTGATGTAAAAAATTACGGAACCTTTGTTAACAGTCAACGCCACACTTAGAATATTTCTCTATCTATTTCAGTTTGAAAAAATACAGATTTGTTTCAAGACTTAATTTACACACTGTATGTCTCGAGGATATTTTTAGTTATACTGTAGTATAAATTGAAAAGTTACAATATGCGGAGGAGATAAAAGCAACCATATTTGGTTCATCGCAGACTGTATAGGCCTACATTATCACATTGCTGACTTTATTGTACAGAACATGATATTAGGCCCGATTACATATTTTACCGCAGCACTCTGTAAAAATTGAAAAAAAATAAATATATAGCACTGAAAACAAATTAATTACACTCCCCAATACATTGGTCAGCTCATTTAAAAATATATTATATAAAATAATTTTACAACCAGCCCATTTGAAATGTAGAAACTGAAGAACATTCGCGCTTACCTGATCGATTGTTTTTACCATTTAGGTTTAAAACCTAAAAATTCTATAAGTGTACACATAATTTAATTTAGCTCTTTGAATAAGGGTTTCAATTCGTGTCAAAATTACCAAGTGTAAGTCAGCAAGCCAAGCTTCTGTCATTCAAGTTTCTCCTCATATTTCATAAGAAGCCATTACCGCTTTATCGTGGTCGACCTCTTAACCTATTTGCTAATTGTCTAATCTGACACAACCAAAAGGTAGCCCAATCAAATTCCAATTCTGGATAGAAAAAATGTATTAACTTTCTAACGAGGGAGTTTTATGAAATTCATCCAAGAGTGGAAAGATTTGCTGAACAACCTACCAGCTACCACGTTAAGCTGGTGGAACCAGTTTCCAACTATGTGTAGATAAAAATATCTTTTACATATCATCTTTTTTTGTGCCAATTCTTCGAAACAAATAAAAAACCTAAACTTATTTGCAGAAACATCAGTTATGTTATCAAACCAAATCTAGGTCTCTAACCAAATTGAACGCGAATGTTTTACATGCGTTGGAAGCTCTAGCAATATATTTTTCATTGGTCTTAAAAATACCATCTATACCTACAGAAGTAGGCTATGTTACTGTATACATTTTATAAGCATAGACCTCAAGGTCACATTGCATGATCCGTATCATATTCTGACTTAAATGTCTTAGAGCGTCGTTTGAAACACACATCGTCGGTACAAACCAAAGCACCATGCTGACAACCAAAGAACTGTGGTGCAAACCAAAGCAACCAACACACCCTGGTTTTAAGTGAACCCACTTCATACGGGCGAACTGCATGCCACTTGTTAAGAAATCAAGGATTTTAAGGACTTATAATTGTATCCATTATGTTATTAGGGGTTTTGTCGCGATATTTGATTCTCCATGGACTGTTGTATGAGTTAGTTAGTACTGTATCAGGTTATATTGTCAGTAATGACGTGATGGTCACTAGGTTGTCAGTTAGAATGTAGTGTGTCTCATCATCAGTATATACACGTATCGTGAAGTAACAATGTTAGTCATGAGACAAGTGTTGACAAAACGACCACCTACAACACTACAGTATATGCTACTCAGTAGTCTGTTGTATGTGTTAGCTTGTATCTGGTTATATTGTAGGTTAGGATGCGATGGTCACTAGGTTGTCAGTTAGAATGTATAGTGTGTCTCATCATCAGTTTATACACGTATCGTGAGGTAACAATGTTAATCATGAGACAAATGTTGACAAAACGACCACCTACAACACTACAGTATATGATACTCAGTAGTCTGTTGTATGTGTTAGCTTGTATCTGGTTATATTGTAGGTTAGGATGCGATGTTCACTAGGTTGTCAGTTAGAATGTATAGTGTGTCTCATCATCAGTTTATACACGTATCGTGAGGTAACAATGTTAATCATGAGACAAATGTTGACAAAACGACCACCTACAACACTACATTATATGCTACTCAGTAGTCTGTTGTATGTGTTAGCTTGTATCTGGTTATATTGTAGGTTAGGATGCGATGGTCACTAGGTTGTCAGTTAGAATGTATAGTGTGTCTCATCATCAGTTTATACACGTATCGTGAGGTAACAATGTTAATCATGAGACAAATGTTGACAAAACGACCACCTACAACACTACAGTATATGATACTCAGTAGTCTGTTGTATGTGTTAGCTTGTATCTGGTTATATTGTAGGTTAGGATGCGATGTTCACTAGGTTGTCAGTTAGAATGTATAGTGTGTCTCATCATCAGTTTATACACGTATCGTGAGGTAACAATGTTAATCATGAGACAAATGTTGACAAAA